CAGACCGAAAACCACCTAAGCCTGGCGGTAGCCGCGCACACCCCACCGAGTTCACGGAGTCACGGGTGCTGTGCGGCTCCCCACTTCTCAGCATGCGGGGCGGACACGACGTCTCCATGCGCCCCAACAGTAGACCGGTGCACAGTGCTCCAAACCCAGTATGACAGGCAGTCTGCGTGCCAGTATTTACCAGGGCGTGTGGTGCCCTCCACGGGCACCGGCCAAGGGACTAAGATTTGCACAGCTTTACTGAGCTCATGCACAGTCCCTACTGCTCGTCCATTGTAGGGGTGGGCCTCTGTGATCCATCTCCAGCAGGGTGGGCTTTGGATGGAATTTGCTGAATTTCCCCAGGGCAAACAGAATGTAGGGAGGGAACAGGATATAGGAACAAAGAACTGTGGACGTGGGTCAGCATCACGGTGGAAACGCCGGAACTGGGGGAAGAGGGGGCAACTGGAGAAGGCCTCAGCCCAATTCTTTTAAATGGCCCAATGGGAGACATGGAGGAAACAGGTGACTCCATAGTACTCAGCCAATGAGGAACTGGAGGAGGGACTGAATAAAGCGGCGTTTGCTGCTCCAGGTGTTCCTGTACCAACGGACACCCACTCTCCAGAGCGTATTAAAAATCTCGTTTTGGCCATACTTCTGTCTCCGAGCCCATCATTTGAATTCAGACAGGTGAGCATTTCTCACATCCATGTAGTGTGCGGTCCAGTGGTTGTTTGTGCTCACAGCGCTGCACTCATCACCCCAAGAGGAGGCGAGTGAGCACCCCGCTGCAGGGCTCCTTTGCACACATAGCAGGCCCAGGCCCCTGACCTGTAAGAAAAGGAAAAGGCCAAATGGGAGAGGAACCCTGAGGGAGGAAGCGGCTTTACCGAAGAGGGCAGCAGTGCTCAGCTCTGGGAGACCACGCTGCAGTCAGTCACTTCAGCGGCTCTGGACCACCCAGTAAGCCATAAGCACACCCTCCATTTGTCCACGTGAGCCTCACAGGATGAGGTGAGAGCTGAACCTGAAACTGTTGCACAGACACGACCAGCACAACCCTGGGTGAAGACCAGACACAACATTACAGGAAAGTACAACTCCAGAGCAACAGCCCCCATGAACAAGTAGGCAAACATTTTTTAAAATCCTCACCCGATAATATATTTTTATCGATTTTTTAGAAAGAGAGAAACATCCATTGGTTGCCTTCTGTACATGCCCAACAGGGGATCAAATCTAAAACCTAGGTATGTGCCCTGATGGAACCCACAGCATTTTGGTGTATAGGACAATGCTTCAACCAACTGAGCAAGTATGCAGAATTTTTTAACAAAATCTTAGCCAACTGAACTCAACAAGATTAACAAAAAGGAGATTATGATGCAAGCTTTGTGTAATTTTAAGAGTCAACCAATAGAAATTACCATATTAGCCCTAACCGGTTTGGCTCAGTGGATAGAGCGTCAGCCTGCGGACTCAAGGGTCCCAGGTTCAATTCCGGTGAAGGGCATGTACCTTGGTTGGGGGCAGGCACATCCCCGGTAGGGAGTGTGCAAGAGGCAGCTGATCGATGTTTCTCTCTCATCAATGTTTCTGATTCTCTATCCCTATCCCTTCCTCTCTGTAAAAGAAAAAAATCAATAAAATATATATTTTAAAAATTACCGTATTAACAGATGAAAAATATCAGCCATATGATTACCTAAACAAAACAAAACCGGTCCTAGTCGGTTTTACTCAGTGGATAGAGCGTCGGCCTGCGAAATGAAAGGTCCCAGGTTTGGTTCCAGTCAAGGGCACAGGCCCGGGTTGTGGGCTCAATCCCCAGTGGGGGACTTGCCGGAGGTAGCCGATCCATGATTCTTTCTCATTGTGGATGTTTCTATCTCTCTCTCCCTTTCCTTTCCTCTCTGAAATCAAATATATACACACAAAACAAAACAAAAACCCATGTTTGACTAATCCCACATCCATTCCTGATAGAAATTCTGCCAACCAAGAGCACAAGGAAATATAACTATAGCTAATGTCAGACTTAGCGGTAAAGAGCAAATGCCCCCACCCCCGGATGAGGGAATTAGCCAAGATGCCCACAGTCACCACATCTGCTCAGCGTTGTACAGAGCGCCCACTGAGCACAACAAAGGAGGGGAGAGACAGGCTTTCAGGTGGAAGAGAAGTGCCTTTACTTGCAGATCCCATGCCCATCTGTGCAGGAAATCCCACCGAAATCTATAAAAGCTAGTATGTGAATTCAGCAAGGTCACAGAATACAAGAACAGCATGCAGATGTCCATTGTGTTCCACATACCAGTGATACACAGGTGTGCACTGGAATTAAAATATGCCAGTACACTCACTCAAAAATACGCTTAGGTGTAAATTTAACAGAATTTTGAGAGTAACTGGATGCTACACAGATATGCTCCCAGGAACAAACTGGTATTACAACTAAAATACAGAAAAACTTCCTGAATAATCAACATAAAACTCGCAGAAGAGAACCCTGATACCCGAGGACCGAAAGTGGAGATGGCAGAGAGACTGGAAGAACAACATAAGTAGATTAGTTTTTTTTTTTAATATATTTTATTGATTTTTTACAGAGAGGAAGGGAGAGAGACAGAGAGTTAGAAACATCGATGAGAGAGGAACATCGATCAGCTGCCTCCTGCACATCTCCCACTGGGGATGTGCCCGCAACCCAGGCACATGCCCCTGACTGGAATCGAACCCGGGACCCTTCAGTCCGAAGGCCAACGCTCCATCCACTGAGCCAAACCGGTTTTGGCTAGTAGATTGGTTTTTGAAAGTGTTCAGTAGCTGCACATTTAAATCATTTGCTTTAAAATATATAAAAATTACTTAAAAATAAAAAAATAAATTTAACAGAATTTTCACAGGTATAGAGCATGTATGTTGGATATCACACTGAATCCTTTCACGGCCCTAAAATCCCCTGTGCCTCACCTCTTCATCCCTCCCCTCAACCCCTGGCTACCACTGATCTTTACTGTCTCCACAGTTTTGCCTTTTCCGGATGTCACATAGTTGGAGTCACAGATTGGCGCCTTTCAGATTGGCTTCTTCCACTCAGTCATGCATTTCATTCCTCCCTGTCTTGTCATGGCTTGTCAGCTCATTTCTTTTTTGGTGCTGAATAATATTCCCCTGTCTGGCTGACCTGTCCATCCATCTGCTGAAGGACATCTTGGTGGCTTCCAAGTGTTGGTGATGATGAATAAAACTAGGGGTCCAGTGCACGAATTCATGCACCAGTGGGGTCCCTCGGGCTGGCCTGTGGGATGGGGCCAAAACCGGCTCTCCGACATCCCCCAAAGGGTCCCGGATTGCGAGAGGGCACAGGCCAGGCCAAGGGACCCCAACAATTCACAATCGGGCCGGGGAGGGACGTGGGAGGTGGCCAGCCAGGGAGGGACTGAGGGAGGGCACGAGGGCATGTCCAGCCTGTCTCACTCAGTCCTGATCAGCCGGACCCCAGGAGCAAACTAACCTATAAATGGGAGTGTCTGCCCCCAAGTGGTCAGTGCACATCATAGCAAGTGGTTGAGCAGCCTTAGCATATCATTAGCATATTACACTTTGGTTGGTTGAATGGATGACTGGACGACCGGGCATTTAGCATATTAGGGTTTTATTATATAGGATGACTATAAACATACATGTGCAGGTGTTTTATTTTTTAATTAAATTGTTATTGTCCAGATTATTACATTTGTTCCTCTTTTTTTCCCCCATAACTCCCCTCCTCCCAGTTCCCACCCCACCCTCTGCCCTCACTTCCCACCCACTGTCCTCATCCATAGGTGCACGATTTTTGTCCAGTCTCTTCCCGCATCCCCCACACCCCTTTCCTCCCCAAGAATAGTCAGTCCACTCCCTTTCTATGTCCCTGATTCTATTATGATCACCAGATTATTTATTCACTTGATTCTTAGATTCACTAGTTGATAGCT